TAGATGTGTGTCGAGCAGTGAGGCTCAATGCAGAGAAATAAATAAATAAGTAAAATAATTTCATATGAGAGTTCAATCTAGCGTCTCAGCCTGATCGGATTCAGTATAAGATCCCCTTGAGCCTAACCCGATCAGTTTCATGAACGTACAACAAATCAGACATGGAGCAACGACATGCAACAATAGAGAATTGAGTGGTGTATAGGTTGTGAGCCAAGCACCGGACCGTGCGGTAAAGCCCGCAAAACATCTCAGTCAATATCCTCTTGACAGTGAGTGCTCTAACCAAAAGAATAAATTTCCAGCCGGAAACAGAATGAACTTGTTGTCAACAGATTTGGGCCTAAGGGGCCCTCCTTGTTTGGGCCCGATGTCGGAAGACGGTGCGGCGCAGCTGCAGAAAATGACTCGCCGCGGTCAATCCCGCGCAGCGTCTAAATCGTGCCTAGGGGCGTCCACAGTCATGGTCAAACTGGACCCTAGCGCGTCGGTTGAAAAGACGGCGCGGCAGTACGGTCCTCCGGAGATCTGAATCGTCCCCGTTGGACTGGACCGACGCGAGCGCAATGGGCAAATTAGTGGGGTCCGGTCCAAACGGCACTTGAAACGGACCAAGGGTTAGCGAGATATTCAAGTTTGACCTGTTGGGACCGGACCGACACGACCGCGAAACACGGCCAAGAAAGGAACAGCCCTAAGTAGCCATATAGATGAACAGCCAGGCCCGAATAATTAAAAATAGGGTCATGTGCTATTTTTAGCACGGGATTGACTGTTCGTTTCCCAAAGTCGGGCCTGCGCCAGTCCCGTTCTAAAAATAACACAGCCCCACACTATTTTTAGCGCGGGACTGACTGTTCATCTACCGAGGACTGGGCCTGCGCCAGTCCCGTTCTAAAAATAACACAGCCCCACACTATTTTTAGCGTGGGACTGACTGTTCATCTACCGGGACTGACTGTTCATATCCCGAGGTCGGGACTGCTGCTATTTTTAGCGCAAGCTCGGTCTAGAGTTTGACCACAGCCCCGACCATGGGACTGCAGCACTCAGCCCCGACCACCTGGCCTCTCCATTATAAAAGAGAGGCCACTTCACCCAAGAGAGACAGATCACGGATCGGACATCAGACCGACCGAGAGCACGCTCACTTGCGGAATGCAGCAATGCTGGCAGAATAGCAAGTAAGAGAGAAGCTCTCACATGCGGGGATGAGGAATCACTAGCTGGACGGCGAGGAAGGAAGGACTGAAGCTACTGCGTTAAAGCAAGTGGGAAAGAGAGGGACGACCAAGTCATGCAAGGAGGAGGTAAAGGGGAGGGGTTGCTCGGGGAAGTACGGTGCTCTTAGTTCTCACAAGGGCCACCTTGCTTTCTCCCTTACCTCCTCCCCTATCTTCTTCTCTCTGCTCCCTGCTCATCCTCTTCCTTCTTCTCGCTCGTTTGTATGAGACCTATCTAATTCCCCGCGAGCTCATTGGCTTATGGCACAGTTTTGATCTACCGTTGACCACCCACACGCACTGTGCCCGAGGGCTGCTGATACTGAGCACCCAAACTCGCTGTACTCAAGGGCTGAAGATACCGTGTGCTCTCGGGACAGGCTGATTTCTGATACCATACTTTCACCTACTCTGAACATGAAGTTCGTAGATACCGAGTACCGCCGCATGCAGTGAACCTTGTCAGAGTACCATGTTCCGCTGTGTCTGGGTCAAACCCGCCAAGGGTTACATGATCTATGTATCACATCATGTACCAATTTGGCATAGTTATTGGCTGTAAGCTCTCAAACAAGGCTTTATGATTGGCTGTGCCAATAGGCACTTGAACAGGGTATAATAGTTGGCTCGCTGTACCAAGAGATGATTAAACTGAGCATGATGTTTTGCTGCGCCGAGAGGCACTCAAATTGAGTGTGCCGATTTTATTGTGCCAAGAAGGTACCCAAGTTAAGTCTGCTTATTGACTGTACTGAGCATCACGTGCGACTGTGCGCTTTTACATGCGACACTGCGCATGCAACCTGCAAGCAACCAATAAGTACAATCTCGCAACTCTTACCTTGACGATTGCGACTGTGCGCGCTGTAATTCAAGTGCGACATTGCGCTTTTATTTTTGATTCTGAGATAAGTGCGGTGCTGTGCCGCTTTTGAGACCATATCTGAACTGCGCAGAGTGCGCGCGGTACTTGAGACTATATTCGAGCTGCGCAAAGTGCGCACTGTACTTGAGACCATATTTGAGATGCGCAGAACTTGAGACCATATTTGAGCTGCGCAGAGTGCGCGCTGTGCACAATGTACTTAAGACCATATCCGAGCTGCGCAGAGGACCATATCTGAGCATTCACAACTGTGCGCTGTTGCGCGCCATGACTGAGGGTCATCTCTGAGCTCTTGTGCCATTCGCAACTGTGCGTTGTTGCGCGCCATGACTGAGGGTCATCTCTGAACTCTTGTGCCATTCGCAAGTGTGCGTTGTTGCGCTCCATGACTGAACACTGTATCCGCCCTCACCATACTTGAGGGCTATATGCAGACTGAGCACTGTATTTGGACTGTGTATCCGCCCTCGCCATACTTGAGGGTTGTATGCGGATTGAGCACTGTATTTGGACTGTGTATCCGCCCTCGCCATACTTGAGGGCTATATGCGGACTGAGCATTATATCTGGACTGTGTGTCCGCCCTCATCCTACACAAGGGCTATACTTAAGGGCTGTGCGACCACGCACACCGCACTTGGGAGCAGCATCTGGACTGCTAATCTGCGCACGCCATGCTTGAGGGCCTTATCAGTGAGCCAGCATACACCCTGCTTGAGAACAAAATCTGAAGTATGCGCTCGCTTGCACCTTGACCGAGATCAGTATCTGAACTGTGCAAAGACCATTTCTGAGTACGAAACTGTGCGCTCTGGCGCGCACCGCTGATGAGTCTGGAGCTGTGCGCTCTGGCGCACACCTCTGATGACATTTATGAGTTCGGAACCGTGCGCTC